ACTGAGGGTTGCGATCCGTTGCCGGACATGGAAAAAGACAAAAAAAAAAAAAAAATACAAAGGTACATATATATAAATGTATGTATATTTTAAAGAAAGTTAACAGTAATAATCATGATGATGGGCTGGCTAGATAGCTCAGTTGGTTAGAGTGCAATATTACAATACCAAAGTCAAAGCCTTGAATCCCCATACCAGCCAGCCACCCAAAATAATAATAATAATAACAACAACAACGATGATGATAGTGATGATGAAATAACTACCCATACAATCAGCATTTGGGTTGTTTCCAATTTTTTGCCATTACAAACGCTATTTCTATCAGTATTCTTGTACCTCTTTCCCAGTGCACATGAGGAAGAGTGCTTCATCTATGATTCCTCTTTGTTCAGCCCCTCCATAAATATATATATTAGAAAAAATATAGATACCTGAAATCTATCACCTTTCATCATTTATACATTTTACTGTAACTTTAAACCACTGTACTCTCTCACGTTTTATTTCAAAAGCCTCCTCACTGGTCTCTCTGCTTCTACCATTACCCCATATACAATGGTACTTCAAAAAGTTCATGGGACAGATTCATATTTTAATTCTATTTTTCCATGAACTTTTTGAAGTACCCTCATAGTCTTTTCTCCACAGATCAGCTACAATTATCTTTTCCAAATGAAAGAGTAAAAGCCAAAGTTCTGCCAATGCCCTGTAAGGATGTGGCTCTATGTAATGTGGCCCCTGTTACCTCTCTATTTTCTAACTCTCTGTCCCTTGAGCATTTTACTCCTATTGCTGTGTCATTAATTTGCCTACCAAGCACATTTTTGCTTTAGGGCCTTTTCATATTCTGCTCCCTCTGTCTGGATGCTCTTTCCCAGATAACAGCATGGCTTATTCCCGCACATCTTTCAGATTTCTGCTCCCTCATTTATATTGAGAGAGGTCTTGCCTGATTCCTCTGTCTGCTTCATCCTTTCACCCTTTATACCTTTACCTTGCTTTAAAAAATATATGTATATATAGCATTTATGTATCACCTGACCTTTTTCATATTCTGCTCCCTCTGTCTGGATGCTCTTTCCCAGATAACAGCATGGCTTATTCCCACACATCTTTCAGATTTCTGCTCCCTCATTTATATTGAGAGAGGTCTTGCCTGATTCCTCTGTCTGCCTCATCCTTTCACCCTTTATACCTTTACCTTGCTTTAAAAAATATATGTATATATAGCATTTATGTATCACCTGACCTGTATTTGTTTATTATCTACCTTTCCTTCATTGACCAAGTTCCAAGAAGATAGGAACTTTGCCTGTGTTCTGTTCACAGCTGCATTCCCAGTGCCTACAATAGTGCTTGACATGTAGTTGGAATGAAAGCAATGTTTGTTGAGTGAACAGACACATTTATGAATACCAGTTCTGAATATGAAGAAAATAGTTTTAGCGGGGCTTTACTATTTAACCTAGGTTAGGTTTTTGGATTTATGGATCTAGGGGGAAGAGTATTCCAGGTCATTTGATTTGGGCAAGAGCAAGGATTTTTGAGTTTTCCTATTTCTTATGATTGCCGTTCTAATCTTTTTTCTCCACTTAATGAAATTTTTGATCAGGTATCAAAATAAGCTCAGTATAGAATATGAATCTAAGGATTTTGTCTTGTTAATCTTTGTTTTTCAAATAGCTAGTACAATGTCTGGACCATAATACGTGCTTGTCAGAAATAGTTTATGGAATGACACTTTCAAACGGATTTTATATGTACAGTCAGTTCTCCTTACTGCCTGTAGTTATGTTCTATAAAGTCACCATGAACTTGGGATTTCTAAATACTGAACCATTGTTTATAGGGAAAATACAGGGTTAGTTTCCTCCAGCCACAACATTTTCATCAGCCATCCTCTAGCCACAACATTTTCATCAACCAATCAATACATAACCTTGTTCTATGTGTTTCTATTTAAAGACTTTTTATTTGGTATATAGTTGATTCTTTAATATCAAACTCATGACTAACAGCACTATAACTCACACCTGAACAAAGCTTATCTAACACACATATTATCTTTATAAGATACATCTACAGTCTTCTTGCACTTAGGAATACTATACAGCACTCTAGTACCAGGCTTGGGGAATATTTTATTTTATTTTTTTGGTAGGTGGTCAGGACAGGGATCCAAGCCCTTGACATTAGTGTTATCAGCACCACACTGTACCCAGTAAGCTAACTGGCCAGGCCTTTGGGGAATATTTTAAACAGTAAAGTCACTAACAAAAAGTACACGTGCACAGATGGCAAAAACATGACACTAAACAGACCAAGCCCTTGACATTAGTGTTATCAGCACCACACTGTACCCAGTAAGCTAACTGGCCAGGCCTTCGGGGAATATTTTAAACAGTAAAGTCACTAACAAAAAGTACACGTACACAGATGGCAAAAACATGACACTAAACAGACCATGAAAAGGATACTCGTTTACAGTGTTAAAGGTGAAACAAGCAGGCAGAGTATAACCTTGTTCGGTCTCAGCTGAGAATGTGTGCATCATGCAACTCTCAAATTTTTCTCCACTCTAAACATGTCCCTGAATGACCACAGAAGCACTATAAGTATTGATTTTTGGGCTACAGATAAATTTTAACAAGTAGGCAATTTTGCAAACACCAAATCCATGAATAATGAGATCAGCTGTATTTTGAAAGTAAAATAGTGATCAGCACACTAGTATTTTCACTACTAATAAATCAATCTGTTTACTTAAAAAATATTTTTTGGCAGATCGGAAAAATGCCATAATCATAAAATTACCAATTCATAGAATTGTTTAATCCCTAGGACTCTAAATACTTTGTTTAACTCATTGACAGATGAGAAAATTAAAGTCAGAAGAATAAAGTGACCATCTCACTGTCATTCAACTATATTATAGTAGAACTGGGACTAGGACATAAGCACCTGCTTCCACATGTAGGAAATTCCCTATTCTACTTCAGTATGGTGATTCTTAGCCACTTACAGTGTTTTTCTCTACTTATTTATTTTTTTCCTTAGCAATGATACCAGCAGGTAACAAACAAGATCTCTTAGGTTATCTTTGTAGAAATGCAAATGATACAAAATTTGAGGAAAAGTGGAATTGATAGTAGTCACCTAATTTCTATATCCAAGTGTAGTACTATTTGTTTGCTCAAGTAAAGTTCTGCTTCCTTACAAGCACGTCATTATTATAGAAGTATTCCTTTGATAATGATGGGTAAGCATTCTGCTTGACACCAGAAGAGCTGTTGTGGCAGCCTGTAAGGTTTCTATGAAATTTACTTTTTAAAGACTGAATTGCGTTTTTGTTTTCCATATTTAATATGTAACCTATATCAGCAAAATTTCTCATGTCCACAAGATGTCACTAAAATCAAAACTTGCACATAGTTTTTAATTTGCAAAAATGTTGCGTTTTGAGTTTATTTCTAACATTTATTGGCTTAGTAAATATTTGTTAAGCATGTATTATGGGCTCATAATCACTGTAAATATGTGAAAATTGACACATAATTCCCCCCAAAAATAATATTACAAAATAGTGATTATGTTTCTAGGAATGGCTATAAAAGTTAACCAATAATGTATCTAAACATAATGTATACAGTATTTGAACTGCTAGTCAAATGGACCTTTGCGAAGTGTTGTAGAAAACCAACTTTTCATTTATAAGATTATTTTTTATGGAAAATGTGGGTCAAGATGGAAATGATATAACTAGGAAAAGAATTCACTCCTTTTTCTAATTAGAGCTGTCCTCCTGAATTGGGACTTGAGAGCTTTTTAAACATATTTCTTTTTTTACTGATAAATCAAAAGAAAGTGCATGTGGTGAATTGTGGAGTATGACTTATTCTTCATTATGAGGACTCCACTCCTTTCACTGCCAACAGATTAATTAGTCAGTGAGGACTATATGAGCATTTAAAAGAAGTAGAGGGAAACCTTTCTTTAGCGGTACTAAAGTTGTCTTTAGATTATCTTAAAATATTCCTGGTCAGTGTGAAATGAAATAAGTCAAAAGTTATACGCAGTTCTTAAAGGTGAATGCCATGAATGCTAGCACACCAAACAATTCAGCAAAAATCAGATTTAAGATCTAATCTAGATATCTCTAGTATTCTGCCTCATAAATTTATCATGTTCTTGAAGTTGCCTAGCTAACATTTTCCTCTCTTACTATTCAGTTAAGTGTCAATCTATTCCAAATAGTAATTATCACATCATTATAATTTTGCAATCTAAATTGCACATTTATTCTTTACCTTACTCCTAGAATGTCATCCTACAAAGCACTGAAGGAGATTTTTGCTTCGGGTTATATCTAGAATACTTATCTCTTTTGGAAGTGAATATTTATATATTAGAAATAAATTTGAACCACATGTCTTGTTACTATCATAGTGTCTTTACACTCAGTAGATTTTATAGTAACCTACTTGATCATCCATCAAATTGGCCAAGCAGAAGTTCAGGGATGCCACAAATAACGCTTAAGTAGCCATTTGGACATTTGTCCTTCCAAAGTTAGAAACAAACTTTGTTGTTTATCACTAATTTGGAATAGCTATTTTTCAAACATTTCTCAAACCTTAAACAAGATCTTTTAAGGAAACCCAGTACATAAAAGCAGTACTGCTTTGGTTGAAGGAGGGAGAAGATGACCCTGGGGCCTTACCCCTTGAGTCACCTTCTTAGGATACTAAGACTTGATCTTATGTGGTTTAAAAACCTGTGCTAAAGCAAAGAGCTTAGAAGGAGGGATTATGACCCTGTGAAGGTGATAAAAAGAGAAGCTACAGACTGGAGGAAATATTTGCAACCCATGTAGCCAACAAAGTACTTGTATCTAGAATATATAAAGAATTTGCAGAACTCAGCAATAAAAAAAATCTAATTAGAAAGTGGTAATAAGTAGTGAGTGGATTAATTAATTCATCAGTGGAAAAGGATTATAAAGCAAATTTTGAAAGAACCCAAGACTCCCACCAAACTTAACAGATGCTTCTATCTGAATCTGCCCTTGCATGGAGTCTGAATATCTCAGACAAAGTTTAAAATGAACACCGGGAATTTTTTTTTAATACCTATTATGACTGGTAACTCATTATATAAGGGATCTACAATTAAGAATCTTCAGCAGGGAGTTTATAATGTAGTTGGAAGGAATAAAATTAGACAAATGCTCTGGCAAGGTAAAGTTTACTCAGTTCATAAGAGAAATTCAGTCATCTTTGCAGAATCAAAGGAAGTTGATTTTGATATTAGAGGCTTTATGGAAGAACTGATATTTATGTTGGAACTTGAAGTTAACAAGTGAGGATAAATTAGGAGGGCATTCCTAATGGAGGGAAAAAAGACAAAGACAGAAGATTAGAGGACAAGTGTATGCATGCTTGTGTGTGAGTGTGTGTTTGTGTGTGTTGAGTAGGTATAATGGGGTAGTGCTTCAGGGAGTAGCAAGTATTGCAAGTAGTATGGCTTGCTTGGCACATACAGTACTGTGGGAAAGAACTGGTAAATAAGGCTGGAGAATTTTATCCTTTACTATAAGTCTCCATGAATATCTAATTGAAGAATTGGTACATGATGAAGTACAAAGGTGGCAAATAACTTTAACGTAGGAGCATATGTTAAGAAGGATTTCTGAGATCTCAGAACTTAGCAGAGGCAGGCTGGCTGTTTAGATCAGCTGGTCAGAGTATGATTTTACAACGTCAAGATCAAGGGTTTGGATTCCCAGACTGGCCAGCTGGTAGGAGCATATGTTAAGAAGGATTTCTGAGATCTCAGAACTTAGCAGAGGCAGGCTGGCTGATTAGATCAGCTGGTCAGAGTATGATTTTACAACGTCAAGATCAAGGGTTTGGATCCCCAGACTGGCCAGCCACCAAAAAAAAAACTTAGCAGAAAAGGGTGTATGATCCATTAGTGAGTGATGATACTCATTGTCTTCGCATTGGCATTATGCCCACCAATTCTTTCCCTTCTTTTATAGGGAGAGGATAAGGTTTGTCATTGAAGTCACTAGCGGTGGATTTGAATTTTAACTTTATCACTTATCAGCCATACAATCTTAGCTGAGTTGTTTAACCTCTAACTCAGTTTTCTCATTGAAAAATAAAAGTGATGGGAGGCAGGGGGTACATAAAGTCAGCCTAATAAGATAGTTGTGAGACTTTCCATGTTAGAAAGTGAATACAAAACACATAGCTCAGTAGCTTTCATGTAGAAGATATTGAAAAATGTTACTCGCATTCCTATCAGGCAATTTTGAGAAAAAAATATGAATTAACTCTTTGCCTGGAAGAGAAGATGGGCCAAAACACTGAGCCTGAAGGACTGAATAGTGCCCCTGGTAATGTAACCCATGATGATGAGACCTTAGGTTTCCTGACAAGAAGCTTTTGAGTTTTTGCTTGGATCAAATTAGTTTGAATTTTATTCGGCCATTTAATTTAGCATCTATTAATATCCAAAAGAGTAAGGTTAAGATGAGAATTTTGCAAGTAAACTCACAATTCCTTTTTCTAAAAATTGCTTACTACACTTTTCTTTTAACTTTTTCTCAGTTTGAAAGAAATTAATTTCTCTTCGGAACATCTCTTCATCAAACAGTAGATCTCTGATTTATTTACATTCAGTATATATATATATATTAAATGTAAATTTTTTAATTAAAAATTTAAAAATGAAAATATATGTGCTTATTTAACTTAACAGAAATTTAGACAGAAACTACTACACCCAGGATTACAGCCTGTTACAATAATATTGGCTTTTGTGTTAATATGTAATACAGTTAAAAGCCAATATTTAATTACTGGTTAGTTTTATTTAGAGTTAGTAGAAAAATGCCTCTAAGAATGTATTTAATAGATATTTGGCATAAGTTATTAAGGAAGAATAATTTTTCCCAAATTAGATGTTCATACCTTAGAGCTGACAGAACATGATTTTCATCTGATTTGTGGTAGTCTGTCTAATGTTCCTGAAAGATTCTTTTTGATGTCTGTAAATGTTTTTTAAATGGATCAAGATGCTTTGTGCATGTTTAAAGCTTAAGCAGCATTTTAAAAATACATTTTGTTTTATTGGGAAGTTTAAAGATTGCATTTTTCCTCCAAATGTTGGTGTCAGGGAAAGACCCTGAGCTGGGCATTAGGTAACTTTGTGTGTGAACTTTGGCAAATCACTTAATCTTAACTTACTTTAGCTACCTCAGCTGTAAATGTCTGGATGAAAGCCAAGTAATTTCAGCATTCTTTGAGACTGTCTGGATATCTTCTCACCCTTTTTATTTGCCCTTCTGGTACATTTGCCCAACTGCCTCAGTATCCAACCATGTGTCACTTCTAGAAACTTTAATCACTTAATTAGCCAGAGATTGTCAGACTATCATTTTCAACCCGCTAACAGCAAGCTTCCCAGGTTTTTCCTTCATACCTCTGTATTTCTTTTAACTCTAGTGAGGAAAACCCACCTGCTTTGTCCTTGTCTTATATAGACTCTGAACTTCCTACTGAAAATTTTGATATTCAAATTCAGAGCTCTGCATAGAATCTTATCTAATGTAATCTTTAATTTTCATATACTGTACTTATTTATATCTTATTTTTTAGTGATATTTTTAACTAAGCTTCTAGAATTATTGAAGCTTTTTTTATTAGTAGAATAATATGCATTTAATAAATGTTTCTGATACTTGATTTTGTCATGTATAGTAATCCATGTGAAAACTTACATGTTGACTTTTTAGTTTGTTTTTAGATGAACAGCCAAACTTAGGGGTACTTTTCACTAGAAAACTAATTCATCTATTTTGATATTCAGGTCATCTGTCCTGTTTGTAGTCATAGCTAAGAGGGGCAGTTTAAATTTAACTAGTTAAATGTGGTTGTAAAAAACCTTGCAGCAGTAGTTAAGTGTAAGATCAGAGTGCTCTATTCTCTCAGTTTGCAAGGAATAGTAATTAATTGTAATGTTTTACATTTGTTTTCAGCTTACTTATTGGTAAAACATTTTTTTTAACATCTGTATGCATATGGTTTGCATTTGCTCTATTTTTAAGGGAAAATTTGTGCATATATTTAAAGGTACTTAATATAAACATTTTTAGTGAAGTATGATTATTAATGAGAAGAGCAATAGGAGTAACAATAATTTGCCTTTAAAAGATGTATTGTTGTTATTGGCATCTTTATTAAATTTCTTTTACCTTCCAAATAAATACCGCTAGTATTTATTTCCAAATGGCCAGCCAACTTTTTCTATACCTAGATGCTATGTAAAAAGTAACAAAAATCTGTTCAAAGATTTTCGATATTGCACTTTGACTTGCTTTCCATTTTGTAATGTGTTATATGGACTTTGATAAGCTTTATAAGTAACCAAGGTCACTTTTTCTTAAGGTTATGACTTTTTGTACAAAATCTTTATGTCTTATTTCTTTTTAAATCTAGGTGACTGTGGGGATCATGTTGTCATAATGAACACAAGACACATTGCATTTTCTGGAAATAAATGGGAACAAAAAGTATATTCCTCACATACTGGGTAAGATAATGCCATCGTCAAGGAAAATAGGTAGTTAAAATATATTAGTTTAAGAATGCTATTGGGACCTTCTCAGCCATGAATCTTCATTCAGGACTCAGGGAATACACGTTAACCAGGTAATGACACCATATGTTAAGAACTTTAGATAAATTGGCTAGAATCAGAAACAATTGCTGACAACACCAAGCCAAGGGTTAAGGTCCCCTTACCAGTCATCTTTTAAAAAATAATAATAATGGGCCGGCCCGTGGCTCACTCGGGAGAGTGTGGTGCTGATAACACCAAGGCCCCGGGTTCGGATCCCATATAGGGATGGCCGGTTGGCTCACTAGGTGAGCGTGGTGATGACAACACCAAGTCAAGGGTTAAGATCCCCTTACCGGTCATCTTTTTTAAAAAAAAAAAAAAAAAAAAGAATGCTATTGCTCTGACATTTAAAAGAAAAAAAGTGCTTTCAAAAATTGACATTTAAGAAAATACTAATTTTACTTATGATACATATATAGTTTACTCAACCAAAAAAAAAAAAAACTGAATCTACCAAATACTATTACCTGACAGTATTTGTTTATCATAGAAGCTTTTCATATAACCTTTCTGCTTAATATTATTCTCTCTTTTTTAGTCAACTTCACTTTTTCTTTTCTGCTTTTTATAATTCATCTTACTGCTGTTTACAGAACCATCCTGAACATCTGAAAGTTCACAAGTTGTTTAAGGAACAGTCACTCTTCTTATATTCAGTCTTGTTTGTTGGTATCTCTTTTTAGTAAATACACTCATCTGGGTGTGTTCTGATGGTTTTCAAGAACCATGTAAAACTCTTTTCACTTTCAGTTAGGCAGTCTTCTATTGCAATAGAACTTTTCTTCAAGGTCATATCACTTATATGGTTCACTGAGTTTATTGTCAGCTAAAATTCCTAAGTCTTTTGCAAACGAATGCTCCTGTTTATTCATGTCTTTTTCCTGTGTGCTTTAGTTGTGTTTTAATCCAACTGCAAGACCTTAAGTTTATTCCATGGTTTTTATCTCCAACCTTTTAAGATCCTTTAGATCCTGATTTTGTCATGTAATGTATTAGTTAGCCCACACCTTCAGGTCATGTGCAAATTTAATTAAGAATAGCTTCTACATACTGCGATTCAAATTATGGTTAGAAATGTTGATCTTTCATTTTTGATCAAAACAGTTCCTTTATTTCCAACTTTGCCTTTGGTGTTCCCATCTGTTTCTTTTCATCTCTTTCCCAAGTACGTCTTAAATGCTTGGAGTAACTTTTTTGCTTCCTTGAGCTGTCCTTTGCCCATTCCTTCCTTTAAAACACATTCATGATATCTTTATATAACTCAACAAAAATGGATTTACATCTATCTAGTAATTTCTGCTATTGGCAAATATCTGTGTATAAACAAGTTCTATAAAATTGAGAGATAATTGGAAGAGAAATATGAAAAGTTAGAATAACATAATAGAATAAAAGCATAAAGGGAAGTATTGACATTAAATGCTATGGTAACTACTATAGCAATAGTACCCATAGTATTACTGAAAATGAAGGAAAATAATAGCCTATAGTGAACTACTAATGTAATACACACGTTAGCTGGTAGTGTCCTTATCTGTGCTTTCTCACCAAGAGATGAAAATTCAAACTCCTTTCAAGTCATTGGCACCCAATTATCAGTGCTGCTTCCTAATCCTTATTTTTAGCCAAGATACCGCTAGTATTTATTTCTCTGCTTTTGCACATGGTGTTCCCCTAACAGGAATGTCATTCACCCTGTGTATCTCAGGAACTCTCCTATTTATACTTTAAAAACTGGCTTAAGTGTCACCTTTTCTGGGATGTCTTCCCTATTTTCTCCTTGCCTATAGGATTAATCGCTTTTTGTTTCTGTTTGCTCTTCCCTTATTCCTTGGGCATACTACTTTATTATGGTCATAGCACTATATTACAATTACATATTCAAAATTTAACTTTCTAGTTATTAAATTTTAAATATGTGCTAATTTTAGAAAATATAGAAAATTTTAAAGAAGGAACTAAATTCACCTCTGATTCCATTGGTTAAAATTTTGATATATGTACAAGTTTATATGCTTTTTCACTTAATATAAAGCTCTCAGAGAACCTTTATGTAAATGTTATTTTTGGTCACTATGTAGTAGTACACAATATGATTTGCCATACTTAATTATTGTCTTGCTTTTTGAAATGAAAATTTTAGCTTTCATAAATAGCTGAAAAACATCTTTATCCATTAACTTTTTCAATATACAGAATTATTTAAACTAAATTTCTGGATATGTAGTGAATTTTGAGATCAAAGGAATGATCCTTTATAGGTCTTTTGATAGGTATTTCCAAATAGTTTAATTGCATAGGAGAGCATAAGAATGGTTGTTATCCCAAATCTATGCAGGCATAGTATCATTAAAAATAATTTAATAATAAGGCTCTGCTATGTTGGTGAACATCTGATTATTTATATGTGCATAATAATGAGGTATCAGTGCTTTCCTTATCACTTTCTCTGTTTGTTTTTTGTTTTGTTTTGTTTTTTTGGCAACTGGCCTGCAAGGGGCTCCGACCCTTGACCTTAGTGTTATATAACAGCCCATTCTAAACACCTGAGCTAACCAGCCAGCCCTTTTGTCCGTTTGTTTTTGTTTTTGGAGGTTTTTTTTAGCAGCTAGACAGTAAGGAGATCCAAGCTCTTGACCTTGGTGTTAGCCGTGCCATACTGTCCCAAGTGAGCTAGCTGGCCAGCCCTTATCACTTTTTATAAACATTTTGTTTATTAAGAATATTAATCTACTATTATATTTTTTACTTTTTCACAAATTTTCTTTATAGTGTTCTTTACTGTACTGTTATTTAATTTTTACGTAATTAAATCTGTCTTTTCCTTTGTAATTTTTCCTGTATTCCAGTCTCAGAAAATCCTTTCTTGTCTAGATATTTCATAAACATTCAATTGTAATTTTTTTTTTTTTTTTTTTTTT